ACTGGTATTAATTATTCAGTTTTTGTCTTTGTTTCTTCTCTTTTTGAGTTTTCTCCAGCCATGACAAGATTTTTTTTTTTCTAATTACTCCTGGTTAATTAGCATAGAAACAACAGGTTTCTTCCAAAGCCATTTATAGTTCCCTTTATCTCATGAGCAGTAAGTCTAAGCCTCTCCAACTCTGTAGGATCATTTCTGCAAGGGAATCTAACCGTTGCTTTAACCCAGAAACAGAAACTTTTAATACCTCTAGGTCCTGGTCAACCTGTCTGCTTGGATTGGAGAGAATCAGAAGAGGCACACTTAGTCAAACCATTGGTACACGCCCACCAACTAGTCTCAGGGGCTTGCTTATGTTGCTGTTGTCCAGATGAGTTAACCCACAAGGCCGAATAGCAGGCATCAGAATAAGGGGAAGTGCCTAGGTCAAAGGTTTAGGATATTAGACAAGTTTTCATCTCTTGTAAGTCTTATAATGTTAATTTGGACTACCCCAGTCACAGTGAGTTTTGTCATTCAGTTGGCTGACAATCTGGTTAGTTCCTATCCTATGTAGTATGGGGGCTGAGTATCTAAGCATAACTAGCAATCCTGGCTGATTTCTCGCTGGGAATAAATAACTTTATCCCTTCTTATGGTATAGAGTGGTTCTCCAGGTTTTCCAAAGGCCAGAATCTTTTCAAAGGATTTTTCAGGAAGCCTCAGTTTTACAACTGCAATTTTTGAATTGGAAACTCCCTTGTTCCTGGCAACTAAGGGGCCCAGCCTCAGGGCATGCATGGAATAGTAAACTCTGTATTTCTGTCTCCAAAGATAAACCTTCATATCTTTGTTTGTTTGTTTTTTTTTCAATACAACCAAATACTTAAAGTGGTCATCAGTGAGCAAAGGTCAAGATGAATATGAGTTGCTGGTCTGTAGTCAACTAGTTAATACCTTTCCTGTATTTGTCTTTCTCAGTTCCCAGGGCCGTGGGCCTGAGGGCCGTGGGGGTCAGACCATAACCCTATACTCATACCCATAGAACAAAGTATAAGACTTGGGAGGAGGTAGAGGGGCAGGGAGTGGAAGGGCCTGGGGCCCAATGAAACCTCAATTTTAATAGGTCCATAGTCCAGAGACAGTCCATTCGGTATCATCATCCATGGCTTCCACTTTCTTGACCTGGGTGTGGTGGATCCGTCATGTAACGCCAGCTACCTTTACAGCCATAGGAATGGAGAGGATCACCCGGTAGGGTCATTTCCAAATTGGTTCCAGTGCTTCTTTGGCTACCTGCTTGAACCAGAGAGTATCAGCGGACTTCAACAAGGGGAAACTGGTACTCAGAGGTCAGCTGGGTCTCTTGGATAGCCCAGGGAATATCCTTTTTTGGAGGACCGGAAGGCCTGCTGTGACTTGAGAAAAAAGGTTAGAGGGATCTGCCAACGGCTGGTCTCTGAGCCTGGGAAGCAGGGGCGGGGGTCTTCCAAATATAATCTCAGGAGGTCAATCCCTCCCTGTCTGGGACGCCACAGACCTGAAGCAAAGCAGAGGAAGGAGGTCTATCCCACCCTTCACTGGGCTTGAAAGAGAATTTTGTTATCATCTTTATTTATTTTTTAACATCCCGTTTATTTTTTCTACTTTCCCAGGACTCTGAGTTCTAAAGCACAATGAAGTTTTCAATTTATTTCTAAAGCTTTAGCTATTAACAGAGAGGTTTTGTCTATGAAAGCCAGGCCACTGTCAGATCCCACTGGCTAGGAGTAAGCCAAATCAGGGAACCAGTGCTTGGAGGAATTTAAGGCTACTATTTGAGCAGTTTCAGTCCAGGTGGAGAACACATTTGCCCTCCCAGAAAAGATGGCTAGTTTCTGTAAAAAGTAGCAAGTATTTTTATCCTCCCGTGGCAGGTCAGATCTCTGTGAAGTCAGTTTTCCCAGAGTTCGCCAGGGTGTTGGTCTCTCATGCAGAATCATTCTTGGGTAAGGGCTCTCTGGATTTACTTAGGCACAAAACTGGAATCTGGCTGAGACAGCCTGAGCTAGGCGTGGCAAACCTTGGTCTGAGCAGCTCTGTCTTGTGAATCTCAAATAAGTAGCTGGGTGAAGGTCAGTTACAGAGTCCTGCTGGCTGTTTCTGGGAGAGTGATCTTTCCCTCTGGTGTCCTCCATCAACCTTTGGGTTTGAACAGTCCATTTCTTCTCCACCATGGAGTCTCAGGCAGCACTGGGTTGGGGTATGTCATCAGAACATCAATAGGCCCCCCTGGTCTTAGGGCCATTTGTTGGACAGCAAGGTCAGTGGCCCAGTGGTGGAGGACAGCAATTTGTCAGGGAAGATGGATAGCCTCGAGGAGGGCCAGGATTTTCTATTTGTTTCTAATGTCCTTTCCCCCAGTGGTGAGAAACCCTGTTTCTCTATAGATCATACCGTGGACACACACAGTAGCAGAAACATAGCAACTATTTTGTGTGCAGTGTGGACTTTCCTTTTCTCCATCTGAAAGCCTGGGTCGGATGGATCAGTTCTGCTTTCTGGGCTGAGGAACATGGGTTGGGGTCAAACCAAGCCAGTTTCAGTTAAAGCGACAACCGCAGCTCCCACACACCTGGTTTCGCCTTTCATCCCGTGACAGCCCTGGATGAGCACCTGAGGGTGTTCACCAGGCAGGAGGGTAGCAGGATGGATGGTGGTAGGTTTCGCAAACTGGACTTGAGGGTGGGTCAAAAGTAGGGCTTGGTACTGGGTCACACAGGCATTAGACAGTCGTTCTGGTATTGCTCCGAGGAGGGTCTCAATCCCATAGAGTGCTGTGAGATAAGATCTTGACCCTGAGTTAACTTGTTGGTTTTTCATTAGACTAGCAATAGCCACCACAGTTCTTAGACAGGTGGACCATCCTGTGGTTCCAGGGTCCGGTCATTCGGACACGTTTCCGTGGCCCCAAAGTGTGGGTTAAAACCCCTTTTGTAATGAATGCCTTTTGTTCTGTGGGCATCTGGAAGTGCTAGGGCTGCAGCAGAAGGCAGAGATGTTTTTAAAGCCTCAAATGCTTTTCGTTCAGTCTCAGTCCAGGTTAGGGGTTCAGTGCCCCGCTTTGTGCTGGTCTATAGAGGCCTTGCTATTGCCACAAACTCTGGTATCCAGAGGCAGCAGTATCCGGCTGCACTTAGGAACTCTGGAACCTGTCTCTTAGTCTTTGGAGGTGGGATCTGAAGGATGGCAGCAGTCCATCTGAAGCATGACTGCCTCCCCTCAGCTGGTAGCAAGGGTAGGCAGTCTCTGATGTATGAAGTTGAGCTTTCTTGGCCGACATTCTCTAGCCCAATGTCTGTAACTCTTGCAGCAGTCCCTCAATGTCTCCGTTATAATCTCTTTTCCCAGGAAATCTTTGACAGAAGGGCAGGAGGTCTGCATTTAGTGTCTTTAAATCCTTGGGGCAACCCGGTCCAAGGATGTTGCCTGCTGTAACACCCCTCTGGGTTTGTCCAATTAAAAGCAAACATGGTTGACTCACCTCTGCCAATGGGAGGCTGAAGAATACATCTTTCAGGTCTAAGACAGTGTACACTTGTTTCTCTGGAATAATCAGACTTATGTGAATCAGAGGTCCCACGTTTCTTCACAGGCAAGAGAGGCATATTCCAGGGTGACTGCCAGGGCTCCAGGATGGCTGTCTCTCCAAGCCAGGCAACATGGACTGCAATTTTCCTTTTTGTTTCCAGGGTCATTGGGTATTGGTTAATCTGGATGGAGGTAGCTGAATTGGTTAGTTGAACAATTCTAGGAACTTGGTGTTGGGCCGGTCCTGGGGAATTGGTTTCTGCCCGTAACCTCAGGAATCTTTGTCATCAATCTGAGAGATAGTCCAACTGTATCTTTTGATTGGAGACAGGACTTTCAGCTAGGCAATATTCTTCTGACAGAGGATAAGAGGGAGAGAGAGAACAACCAGGGGTGGCCATCACACACCAAACACCCTGGATGGTGGGAATCCAGTGATGTCTCACTTGATTCCAGGACACTGGATCAGCAGTCACATCTGACCTCTCCTATGTGTCCACACAGAAGTCGCCTTTATTAGACTTAACGTCTACAGGTGACAGACAAGGCGACTTTCTAATGTGTTTCATTTTGGGGTGGAGATGTCAGATTCATCTGAAGTGCTAGGCAGTGATTGATGAAAGGGGGTCATGGGTACTTGGAAGTTCTTTGAAAATCACACTCTTTCCCATTTTGGGGGGCTCTGAGACCCCCAGTGTCTCAAGGTCTGGTCTGTGGGGATCTTGGTGGAAACTCCCAAAATGTTGTGAGTATCCACCAGAGAAGACTGCTTGATTTAAGCCAATAGAAAATCTATATTAGCTGGCCAGAGACTACACTGGGTGTATGGGATCCCAGTGTAGCACCAAGAGTTACTCAGTGTGAGCTTTTAAGCACAAAAACACTATTTTGGTTTAACATACTTTGGTTAACAAGAACAGTTAGCTAGAAGCAGAATTACAGAAGCCAAAAGGCAAAGCTAGTACATTTAGAGACTTTTCCATAACTATGGACTTTGATGGATTAGATCTTTCTTTTCATTTTGGTAGGTGGTACTGACCATGTGCTGAGTTCTTTGGTCTGAATGGTACTCCTCATCATGGAGTCAGTTGTGCTTAAGGTCTGGAGGCCTACTAAGTTCTGGGGCCCTGTTACCGAGGCAGGAGGTGAGGGAGAGTCAGTGACCAGGGAAAGCTTAGGTTCAGGGATGATCAAGATTGGGTGAATAAAGGGGGTCAATATGGGTCATGGGGTGAAGAGTGGAGACAGGTGACAGTAGAGAGCCACAGATAGCTCTGGAAAGAGATGGGGCTGCTGATCCAGGAGCATCATGGGACCCATCAGGGATGTGGGCTCAGGGGAGGGTAGCAGGTCACCAGTGGCCATGCTAAGCCAGGTCGTATTGGGTCCGTCACAGGGAAGAGTCCTGAAGGACATCAAATGCTGGGATCCCACATCACTCACCTGAGAGACTAATCCATGACAGTTTCTATGTAATCCACCTGAGTTGCTGGCTGCTCCACTTTCTTCCTTTGGGATTTCGTGCTGAGTGAGGAGACCAGAGCCTTCAGTCTGGGCATGTAGGGGACCAAGTGCAGCAGCCCCCTCCCCTGAACCCCAGTCATGGGCTATAAGGATGGCTGGGGGAGAGATAGACACCCAGACCACAGGACCCAGCGGTGGAAGACAGCCTTCTTCCTGTGATGGCTGCTCTTAGTTGTCATGTTGACTACATCTGGAATTAAGCCAAATGGCTGGGCACTCCTGTGGGGGATTTTTCTTGATCGACTCATTTAGGGTGGGAAGACCCACCAGATCTTTTGAGGTGGGGAGATCTACCTTAAATCTGGGCCACACCTTCTGGTGGCACCCTATATAAAAGACAGAGAAGAAGGAAGCTCTTAATATTTGCCTGGTTGTTCTCACTCTGCCTGGCAAGGCCATTCCTCCACTGGTATCAGAGTCTACGTCTTTGGGATTTCAGTGTGTACTGAAGACCAGCTGAGACATCCAGCCTTGTGGACTGGACAAATATTGGACTCTTATTAGACTTTCTGTCAGAAGACAGCCATTGTTGGAATAGTCGGACCATAGACTGTAACCTGTAATCCACTCTAATAAATCCAGTGTGTGTGTGTGTGTGTGTGTGTGTGTATACTTACATTCTATCAGTTCTGTTTCTCTAGAGAACTCTGATTAATACACTCCCCCAACTGCCACATTTGACAGCTCCAGCATGATGAAGAATTGTCCATACCTATGAGCTCCCTGCCTGGATCCCAACCCTTAAGACCCCCATCTTATCTCCCAGCACTAGTAATCTAAGATTCAGTCTTGTGTCTCTGCCCTCCTCACACCTCTGCTTTGTCCCAGGAGCAACACTCACCTGAGGAAGAGGAAGCAGATCCCCAGAATCAGGAGTTTGATAGCAGCCTCTCCCATGGCCACCAGAACCACCTCTGCCAGGGGCCCTGATTTCCCTGAAGAAATGTGGATGGACCTGAATTTACTTGATAATCCCAGACATAGTCCTCTCTTTCTCAGAAGCACTTAGACATGGTCTTCCAAATTTCCCTGCATCCTGGACCCGAGACTGCATTAGCCCAAGCCTCCCTGACTCCCTCACCCTGTTGCCAACAACATATCAGAATGAAATCACTCTCTTTCATAATTTAAGCTTCTATCACAGAGGCATGGTGGCCATCTATAATCCCACTACTCAGAAGGATGAAGCAATAGGACTATGGGTTCAAAGCCAGCTTGGGTTACACAGCAAGATTCTGCATCAAAAATCAAAACCAACAATTGCAATTGAAAATACCAAGGACTTACAGAACTAGAGGGCATGTTTGTGTATTGTAGCAATGGCAAGCACACAAAAAAAACTCTTTAAAATTTTTATCTGCCTGCATGTATGTATGTATGTATGTATGTATGTATGTATGTATATATGTATGTGCACACCTGAGTGCCTGGTGCCCTCTGAAGTTCAAAGAAGTTGTGAGATCCCCTAGAACCGAAGTGACAGACAGCTACAAACTACCATGTAGGTGCTGAGAACTGAGCCCAGGTCCTCTGCAAGAGCAGCCAATGCTCTTAACTACTAAGTCATCTCTCCAGCCTCCAGAGAAGAACTCTTACAGCTTAAAACCACAAGGAAGTCAAATGCCTTTAATCTCAGCCCTTGGGAGACAAGGGCAGGTATACCTCTGAGCTTGAGGTCATCCTGGTAGCATAGTGAGAACCTTCCTCAAAAATCAAGTACCAAGATCTCAACAACCCAGCTCATAATAGTCATAGAATTTTAAGCTCATATTTCACAGAAGAGAATCAAATGGTCAAGTATCCATCTTTTTTTTTGAGACAGGGTTGCTCAATGGTCTGCAACTCAATTTGTTAATATCTAGCTAACAATTTAGTTATGCCAGTGAGCCTGTTTTCATCTCCCCAGCCACAATACCCATCTCTCTCTCTCTCTCTCTCTCTCTCTCTCTCTCTCTCTCTCTCTCTCTCTCTCTCGCTCTTTGTCTCTGTATGAAATGTGGATTTTGGGACTTGAACTCAGGTCTCTACAAGGCAAGCCCTTTACTCACTGAGCTATCCCCTCATCCCTACATTTTCTTTGTCCTTATGTCTGATCAAAAGTGCATAAATAAGCCCAAGGCAATAGCAAACTTCTCCTGATATTGATAAATATCCAAAAGATTCCCAGGGACAGGGTGTGGGTCAATGCTCATCCTAGGATCAGTCTGTAGGAACAAAAATCAAAACAAAACAAAAAAGGTTTTGCTCCACCTGCCTCGGTGGAAGTGTACACTCTCCTAGGTCCCTGTTGGGAATGTCCCACTGTCCAGCAGCCATGAAGTAACACTTGGTTATCATTCTCTATATCAGAAAGACACCAGATCCAGCTGCAATTTGCATTTGGGAATTAGTAATTCAGACATATAGACAGAAAGACAGACACACTGACAGACAGAGAGACACACACTTGTGGAAGTAGATGGAAAACTATTCACTACACATTGCTTTTAGCAGAATGACAGCAGTGGAATTGCTGCCCAATAGTACAAAATGTCCACAGGACTGGATCCAACCAGTGTGGACAAGAGTCCCGGAGAACAAAAGCTGTTAAGCTACTGATATCCTGAGTCCTGTCAGGCCACAAGTGGACAAACAAAAGCTTGGTACTGTGTGTAGTCACAGGTCTGTCCTGAGAAGGGGACTGAACCTCTGTGTGTGCTCTGAATGTTTGCTCATATGGCTCTGTCTTTTGCACACACATGAAGATCAAAGTTCTTGACAGACTCAAGTGCTGAGGTTTCTGGAAGATCCACAAGTGGACTAAAAGTGTCTGGAGTGTGTGATTCTATTTTGTGAGTGCTGGCCTGTCCCTGTAATGGCCCTGGAGTGCCCAGAAGCCCAAAGGGTTGAGGAATAGGCGAGGACAGGTGCTCTTGAATGGTACTTGAATGCACTGTGGGTGAGGAGAGTCACTAGTTTTGCAAGAAGGCGGTCTTTGTGTTCAGGGTAAGAAGGGATGGACCCTGCTCTGAGCTTTAGAGATCCTGTTCCTCCAACCCAAGATGACTCCCCCTACCTGGGCCAGCTCCTCCAGAGACATGGGTTGTGGAGTTCTGTGGAGTGTCTTGGAAAAACAAAAAGCAAAACAAAACAAAAATGTTAACATCTTAGGTTTCAGTACCATTCCCCACAACTATCCAGAAAGCACAGAAGATGTGAGAGACATGGGTCCTCAGTCCCCAGACCAACTATGATCCAGGACACAGCCACCATGGATCCCAGCCCTGGGTTGAACTCACAGGTGACATTGATCTGGACAGTCTTTTGAACAGTCACATTAGCTCCCGGGAAGGTCACTTGACAGATGAGGTTGGTGCCATGGTCCTGGAGCCTGGGTGTGAGGGTCAGCATGGAGGAAAAGGTGGTCCTGGGGCCCAGGGATGTGATGGCAGCTGACATCCAGGAGAAGATGGGAGGTGTCCCCCGCTCACAGGCCCAAGGCACAGAGCATGTCACTTTACTAGGATGGCCAAGTTCCAACGTCTGTGGGATTTCGATGTTGGGGGTGTGAGTGAGGGCTGGTGAGGAGAGAAAGACATGCAGGATCAGGATGGGGGTGAAGTGCAGCCATTGAGAAGCCCAGGTTCTGATCCAACTCCTCCATTTCCCTGCTTTGTCCCCAGTGACTCTCAGGCTGGGATCCAAGCCCTGCTTTGTGTCACCCATGAGCTTCCTCTGTGGCCAATGCGGAGCCAGTACTTTACCTGTCACATCCACAGAGAGCTCATTCTTGCAGTAATTCCATTTTACACTCCCTTTTTCCATTCTGAAGAAGTAAGAACCGCTGTCACTCCTCTGTGCATCTCTGATGTCCAGCGAGCAGTCGTTGGTACTTGGGTCCCCAAAGAGGTGGAACTGGCTCTGAGTCTTCTGCACCGGTTTATTTGGGTTGTTTGTAGCCACTGGTAAATCAGTGTCTGTATCTGCTCCTGCACGGAACCAGTAACCAAAGACAGTGTCGGAACTTGGTTTCAAGGATGGCTCAAAGAACGTACAGGGCACAAGGACACACAGACCCTCCTGCACTGTTACGAGGCTGGACTGCAATTTCAGCTTGAATATCTCATCTGTATGCTCCATGTCTCTCCAGCTTCTAGGGAGAAGAAAGTCGTTTCCAGCTATCCACTCACACACCCAGAGCAGGGGAAGCAGTCGGGGCAGCAGCATCCCAGCTGACGGCCCGGGCTACTGTAAGGGAGCAAAGGGAGGAGGACTTCAGCAGGCAAAGCTTTAGGGGAACTGGGAAAGCTGCAGAGAATCAACAGATGTCAGCCCACAGAAGAGGAACCAAGGACCGCAGGTGTCCTGAGTCTTCCCGTCTGCATGTAAAGGTCCTAGGAAACGCCGGAGGAAAATAGTATGGAAAAGCAAAGGGCGTTTATTAATATCCTAGCATGCAGGGGTCGTTCACCTGTACAAAATAGCGATGACCCACAAAGAAGCGTACAGGCTCCTGTTAAGCATAGTTAGAGGATTTTCAGGGACGGTTAGATCATCTCAAACGTTCTTAAACACAATTGGTTAATCAAGCAGCAGTAACACTAGTATACTTTTAATTGGTTGAGGTTTAGTCTTATCATTTTTGGACATATTTACACAACCTTGGGCACGTTTGGAGGTGACTCGGAAGGGGGCTGCAGGATTTGTCCTTGAGACCTTGTGAGGTTGACCTGACTTAGGCCTGTGTTTGTTCTCTCCCGTCCCTGAGTGCAAGGGTATTGCGGATAAATGGCCCGGCCCTTCATGGGAGAGACAGCTGTTTTGCCCTTCTCAGAGAAATGAAACCTAAACTCAGTTGTGAGAGTGGGAGAGTTTAACCCCTTCATGCAGAGAACACGTGAAAACCCAGCAATCATTATCAAGGAGGTCTGAGAGACCCAGGCAGAGAGGAAGAGAGAAGGAGGGCTGTGGAGACAGCTCAGTCTGTAAAGTGCTTGTTGCACAAGGATGAGGACCTAAATTCAGACCCACAGCACGTACATAAAAATCTGGCCATGACAGTGTGTGTCCCTAACCCCAGTGCTGGGGAGGCAGAGACAGGAGGATCCCCAGAGCTTGTCTGCCAGCCGTTCTTCTTGACTTGGTTATCTTTAGATTCAGTGAGAGACTCTGTCTCAAAAAATGAGGTGGAGGAACTGGAGAGATGACTCAGTGGTTTAAAGCACGTATTGCCCTTTCAGTAGACCCAGGTTCAATTCCCAGCACCCATTTGGTGGCTCACAATCATCCATAACTCTAGTTCCAAGAGATTTGACATTTCTGTTCCGACTTGTACACATATACATCCGGGCAAAACACTCATACACATATCATAAAATAATAAATCTTAAAAACATTTTAATGAGGCAGAGGATAGTTGAGGAAGACACCTGACATCAACTTCTGGACCTCACACCCACCGTTGTGCATGAACACTGCATACACGAGTGTACAAATATATTCACACACATATACACAGGAAGGGAGGGAAGAAGGATGGAAGGAGAGAGGGAGGAAGTAGGGAGGGAGGAAGGAAAGAAATAAAGGAAAAAAGGAGGGAGGGCACCAGTGAGGGAAGGAAGGACGGAATAAAGAAAGGGAGGGAGGGGTTGGAAATGTTAGAGAACAAGTTCTGAGGGTCTTCCTTCCCTGCAGCCCTGTGGTGGATCTGGACACAGAGGTGTGTGTCTAAGATCTTCCCTTAGTCAGAGGCCTCCCCTTAGGAGGAAGACCTCAGATGAAATGAAGCCGGTCTCTGTTGAGTTTGCTCACTCATTTCTCCAGGAAACACACAGTGAGCTGTAGGCATCACAGAGCTAGACACAAGAAGGGAAGCTTTTGTCTGGTCACCTGCCTGCCATGCAGGAGCCTCAGACTCTCCATAGGCTGATGCTACTGTCTTCAGAGCTGCTGGCCCTGGAGAGCTCTCCCCCTGCCAGGGAAGCATATGGGACATATTTGTAAAGCACGAGCCGGGAATTATTTCCCTCGCATCCAATGGACTAATTCCCAAGGTATCAATGACAGTAGCACCATCAATGTAAAAGGAGTTCTCAACAGTACAGGACGAACAGCTTCCCACAGTGTGGTGTGGAGAACAGTCACATCTACGACCTCACCTTGCAGATCAGTACTTTCTTCTCATCTCAGATTTGCATCTCCCAGTTAGGTGTGCATCAGAAGGCATTGCCAGACAGTGTAAGTGGACGGTCAGAAAAGATCCAATTTTTGGTTCTGTTCCTATGTTTCCCATGTCATAGAATTTGATGTTACCAATATATTTTTAAAAATGTATTTTCTGGGTGTGACGGTACATAATTTTAATGCCATCACTCGGAGACAGAGGCAGACAGGTCTCTGAGTTTAATGAGTCTGGTCTATATAGTGAGTTCCAGGTCAGACAGGACTACATAGTAAAACACTCTGTCAAAAATATTTTCTTTAGTTCTTTGAGAATTTTATACAACGTATCTTGATCATAATACCCCTACTTTCCTATCACCTCACCTTTATGGTCTCATTTTAAATAAAGCCCCTTAATTCCAGTTTATGTTACCCATACGCTTTTGGGTTTGTGAACTTCCATTGGCATGTGGTCAACCTACCAGGAACCATACCCTTAAAGAAAATTGACTTTCCCTATCCCAGAAGCTTTCAGTCGCCAATAGTTCTTCAACTAGGGGCAGGATTTCATGCCCACCTCTCCTCTATGTTCTGGGAATTGGTCTGGGTTGAGTTTGCACAGGTCTTATACATGCTCTCACAACCACTGTGAGTTCCTATGGGCAGCTTCCCTGGTGTGTACAGAAGACACTGTTTCCTTGTGGTCCTTCACTGCCTCTGGCTCTTACATTCTTTCTTCCGAAATGATTCCTGAGCCTTGGAAGGTAAAGTGTGATATAGATGTCCTGTGTTAAGCATGCTGAATTTTATTCTTTGCAATTTTTATGTGCAGTTGTCTCTTTGTTGTGGAATAGTGTCTTGTTTTCTAAAATTGGAATTATTTCTGCTTGTTTATAAATTGTTTAAGAGTCCTTAATAGGCTGTGGACACAGTCACCTGTTTTTTTTTTTTTTTTTTGGTTTTTTGAGACAGGGTTTCTCTGTGTAGCTTTGCTCCTTTCCTGGAACCCACTTGGTAGCCCAGGCTGGCCTCGAACTCACAGAGATCCACCTGGCTCTGCCTCCCAAGTGCTAGGATTAAAGGCGTGCGCCACCACCGCCAGACTAACAGTCACCTGTTTTTTAAGATGTTCTCTCATAAGATGTAATGTTTTGCCCTCCCTCTTTACAGCCCTTTTCAGAATGGTAAGAAGATACTGTTACCTAAACATTCTTGTTATATACAAGGAGACCAATGACATGCCCAGGAAGAAGAAGAAAACAAAGATTAGGAAGGAGGTTGGTTCAGACAGACAAGCACCCTAGTGAGATGGCCACAGGGCAGTTCAGCCCAAAGAAACTCAGGCACCATTGCCTGGGACCTATAAATGTTTCCTTTCTCCTGTGAATGGTCTTGGTAGATGTGACTAAGTGAAGGACTTTGCTCATTGGGGACCATCCTGCATTGTCTATAGCCATCAGATCCAATTACAAGTTTTTCTCTAGGGGAAAAGCACAGGGAGATGGGATGCTAATTCAGGGTTGAGGCCGTGTGACCCTAGAGGCAGAGATGGGAGTGACGGAGAGGGGACCAGGATGACATCAGCTTCCACTAAGTGGAGAAGCAAGGGGTGAACAGTCCCTCTGATCTCTTCAGGGACAGTCACCCATGGAACATGCTACTTGGCACCCAAAGAACATGATTTTGGATTTCCAACCTCTTGAACCACAAGAGAGGAAACATCTTTCAGACACCTGCTGTGTGTGGTTGTGTTTGGGGCTAGCAAAGCTTTGTGAGGAGGAAGCTACTGAGTAGCTCTGAGAGCCCTCAGGGAAGAAACGGGGCAAACTTCCTCCTGAATGCCAGTCTCTGTGTTCTTGTGTTTAAAAACTTGATTAGTTTATGTTGAGTCTACAAAATGAAGTGTTTCAGAATTACATTTTCCTTCTCAGACATGTGTCTACAACCATACCTCTGCGAATACACCATATCCAAGTACAACATAGTGGTATCTTCTCCATAGCCAGTCTCCACACTGACTTCTCCTATCTCTCCTTTTCCCCTCCACCAATCCCATTCTGTCTTAGTCAGGGTTCTCTAGAGTAATGGAACTTATAGACTGAATCTTTCTCTATATAGAAAGGGGATTTATTAGAATGACTTACAGGCTTCAGTATGGGAGAAATCGTACCATATATTAGATGCTGTTTCAAAGCATATACTACCTTCTGGAGAACCCTACCCCAGCCCTCCAGGCTGCTGCCAACTAATTGAAACTATGTCTTCAAAAGGCCATCCCGTCTTTCTATCAGGCCCCCCTGCTTCAGGATGGTGGGGAATGTGGAAAGACCAGTGGATTCCATGATCATGGGCCCACTGTCACACTTCTCTGGCTGTAAAGTGAGTTCCTTGGTCAGAAGCCATACTGTGTGGAATACCAAGATGGTTCATCCATTCTGTAAATCCATGAATGGTGGTTTTAGCCGAAGAATTACATGCAGGAAAGGCAAATCCATAGCCAGAATAAGTATCTACTACAGTAAGGACAAAGTCCTTTCCATGGAGGAAGTAAGTGGTCCAATGTAGACCAGGACCCTGGCTGGTCACCTTGGGGAATGGTTGTTGTAGAATATTAAATTAAGATGTGTTACATTTGCTTATGCTTTGGAATATTTATTTAATGATGCAAAGATGTGTTACATTTGTTTGATTAAATAAAATTAACCTGGGGTCAGGAGGCTGAGTCAGCAACTAGCTGACAGGAAGTGATAGCTAGGGTTCTTAAGTGGGGGCTGAGTAGAAGGAGGCCAGTTTTTGGGGGAGATGAGAGCTAGGAGAGAAAGTTAGCTATTTGCTACTCGGCCTCTTTGAGAGAGCAGAATTTCACCTCAACCTTTGAATCCTGAGTTCTGTAGAGGAATAGAGATCTAGATAAAGTTCCCTTTAGCAGCCGTGATAGAGCCAGTGCCTGAGGGACCAGAATTCCCACTTGGCTGAGGCCAGTGCAGCCAAAGGGCTACTGATAGCTGCAGAGTTGTAACTGCCAATTAGGACAGCAGCTGCTTAGGGGGCAGCTACTGAATTTG